ATATTTCAGGAACTTTTATAGGTGAGGTGGATCTCTTGAAGACAGCATATAGTGGGGTCTAGCTTTTTAACCCAATCAGTCTGTGTCTTTTGAATGGGGAGTTTAATCCATTTACATTTAGGGTTTTTATTGATAAGTATTGCTTTACTCCTGTCATATTGTTTTTCATTTAGATATTTTAAACATTATTTGTCCTTTTTGTCCCCTTTTATTTTTCATCTTCAATGTTAGTTGGATTTTTGAGGTGACATGATTTAGCTTCTCTCTCTTTCTTGTTTGCATTTTGGTTTTAATGGTGGGTTTTGCTCTTTCTTGTGAATCTGTGATATCCATTATCATTTTTCAGATTCCAGATGCAGGACTCTTTTGAGTATTACTTGTAGCCCTACAAGTAATGTGGTAATGAACTCCCACAATTTTTGTTTGTCAGGGAAATACACTATTTCTTCCTCATTTCTAAATGATAACCATGCTGGATATAGGATTCTTGGACAGCTGTTTTTTTCTTTTAGTCTGTTGAATATGTCATCCCATTTTCTTCTGGCCTATCAGGTTTCAGTTGAGAAGTTTGCTGGTAGTCTGATAGGGGCTCCCTTATAGGTGACTTGGCACTTTTCTCTTGCTGCTTTTAAAATTCTCTGTCTTTGAATTTTGCCAGTTTGATAATAATGTGTCTTGGGGAGGATCTTTTTGGATTGAATCTGTTTGGGAATCTTTGGTCTTCTTGGATCTGAAGGTCTGCATCCCTTTCTATAACTGGGAAGTTTTCTGTTATTACTTCCTCGAATAGGTTTTCAATGCCTTTTCCTTTTTCCTCCCCTTCTGGAATACTCATGATTCAGATGTTTGTGCACTTGAAGTTGTCTACTAGCTCTCTTAAACTTTCTTCATTTTTTAAAAATTCTTTTTTCCTTTTTCTTGTCTGCCTGGGTCATTTCAAAAAGACCATCTTTGAGTTCTGATATTCTTTCTTCTGCTTGCTCTAGCCTGCTGCTCAAGCTTTCTGTTCTGTTTTTTTTTTATTTATTTCATTGAGAGAATTCTTCATTTCTAGAAGTTTTATTTAGTTATTATTTAAGTTATTAAGCTCTTTGTAAATTTCCTCCTTCATATCCTGGATAGTTTTTCTTCTTTCATTGTGTTCTCTAGTTGATTCTTCTCTTATTTCTTGGAGTTTTCTTAAAATCAGTGTTCAGAATTCCTTTTCAGACATCTCAAGGGTTTCTTGCTCTATGGAGTTGGGTACTTGAGAAATACCATATTCCTTTGGTGGTGTCATATCTCTTTGTTATTTGTAGCTCTAATATTTTTATGCTGATGTTTGGTCATCTGGTAGAACACTTATTTCTTCTATCCCTCTAGAGTGGGTTATGAGGGGGAAGACTTCCTCCTCTTTAGCTTCTGCTGGTGACTCTTGTTTTATTGATGCAGTTGAGTATGCGGTGGCTCCTGTTCAGTCAGTGTGCAGATCCTGCACATGCTCATCTGTGCAGCCCACAAGGTGGTTTAGTGGGGCCTTGTGAGCCCCCCTGTGCTCAGGTGTGGGTGGGGCCTGCAGCTGTGTTGGTCCCTGGTGGGACTTGGGTCCTATACTTGTTCACCTGTGTCAATCAACAAATGACTGGATAAAGAAAATGTGGTATGTATACACAATGAAATACTACTCAGCCATAAAAAAGAATGAAATTCTGCCATTTGCAACAACATGGATGAGTCCGAAGAAAATTATGTTACGTGAAATAAGCCAGACAAAGAAACAGAAATACCACATGTTCTCACTCATAACTGGCTGCTAGGAAGCGAGGGAGGGAGGGAGGAAAGGAGGGAGGGAGGGAAGAAGGAACAAATGAAGAAAAGAAAGAAAGAAAAGGCCACAACATGTTGAACTTTCAGAAGGAGAGAATAAACCTAAGGATGCCAGAGATGGGGGGAAGGAGGGACAGGGCTTGGGAAGTGATAGATCAGGCAAAGGGCATAAAGAAATACCATGATTTGTAGGAACGAATATGCTAATAATAAATTTTAAAAAAAATTTTTTTAAAGGAACTGGTAGGAGCAGAAGTTAAGAGACCCAGAAAGTCTTTGGGCCCCCAGGGTTTTTCCAGTCCTTGACTGATGCTGCAGCATATCCACCATCCCTTACAGTCACTTGTGTCGATTCTTTTCTCCAGCTGGTTTCAGTGCTGAAAGAAATGAGCTATCTTGAATCCAGAGAGAGGAAGCACATTCCTGAGACAGCAGCAGCCCTGTTCTCCTCCAGGGAATTCTATCGGCAGCTTGTGGCTAACTTGGAGTTGATGGCAAACTGGTACAACAAAGTTATGAAAACCCTGCTAGAGGTGGAATTTCCATTAGTGGAGGAAGAGCTGCAAAATATTGATCTCTGCCTGAGAGCTGCAGAGGAGACTCTGAACTGGAAAACAGAAGGTAACAGGGCACCACCTGGAGTCTAAAGGAAACGCTGGGATTCGAGAAACACAAGCTCAGATTGTTCCCTGGTTTGGGTTTGAAAAACACGTCTGTGTCCTCCTCAGACACATGTCCAGGTAGAGGAGGCAGGGAGGGTTGGTATTCCTCTTCTTGCTTCTTTGTGGAGGTGATTGGTAGAGTTAGAAAACTGTACTGCCGTGCACCTTAGGAGGCTCAGAGCTTGCACAAGATCTCCCCAGACACCAACATGTACTGGGCACTCCACGAGTGAGAGTTTTTACTATATTGTCGTTGTTATTTAATTTTCATAACTAGATTGTAAGCATCTTAAAAGAGAGAACTATGCATCCACTTCTCTGGTATCCCCCAATTCAATTCAGTAAACTTCCGTTGATTGATTAACATTTACAGGGTACTATGTGGGGGGCTGTAAGGAGAATGTGAGACATGAGGTATATAGAACATAGCCTCTACCCTCAAAGAGCTCACATTTAGTGGAGACAACAGACATACATACAACCTAAATCATGCAAGACTGGATATGGTAAAAAGCCATTATAGAGTTAAAAATAAAGTATGATGAATCACAGGGGAGGGAGGTTAATTAGAATTAGGGTCCTCAGAAGAGTTAAGTTTTGAAAATAAGGTCACAGTGAACTCATGAAAGTCTTGGAAAGCCAAACTAAACAAGTTAGAACTATATATAAAAAGGAATGACATTTTCAAGATTTGACACAGTGAAAGTGCTAAAAAAAAAAAAAAAAAAAAAAAGATCGATTAACCCAAATAAAGTCATCACTGGTGTCCAGATGTAAAATTGTATTACCTAGCAACCATACCAACTTTTGTGTGGTTGGTAGGTAAGCATTACGTCTTTGTTTCTCTTCCTCTGTAATCAGGATCATGGTAAGGGTTGGCTTTTTAATACAACTAGAAAGGAAAATGTTTTGATAATAACGTAACCTATACAGAAACGTCTTATAAAACCCACAAGTATTAAATGTGTATCTTTCATAGCAACTACCCCTCCAGCTATGCCATCGTAAGCTATTCCAATTAACTATATTTCTTTTGGGGAGCAGGCATTTGGGATTATGTCATTCAAATTACCAATAGTGTTCATGATCTTGAAGAAAGAATTCAGAAAACTAAAGACAATGTGGAAGAGATTCAAAACATTTGTAAGCTATTCCAATTAACTATATTTCTTTTGGGGAGCAGGCATTTGGGATTATGTCATTCAAATCACCAATAGTATTCATGATCTTGAAGAAAGAATTCAGAAAACTAAAGACAATGTGGAAGAGATTCAAAACATTATGAAAGCCTGGGTGACTCCAATATTTAAGAGAAAAGATGGAAAAAGGGAAAGCCTTCTCTCTCTGGATGACCAGCATGATCAAATGGAAAAATATTACAGTCTCATCAAAGAATCTGGCCTTAAGATTCATGCCCTTGTTCAGGTAATAACCAACCTCTTAGACACATATACCGTGAGTATAGGAAAAGCGTCAAGAAGTATTTGGGTGCAAGAAGTGATTTGAAAATTAGAACCATCAATAGATGCTGTGTCTTCTGCAGTCAAGGATAGAAGTTTACACTGAATAGAAGTTTATACTGATAGAAGATTAGTTCTTTTTAGCAAAAGAACTAAAGCTAACAGATGAGGGGAGTGAAAAGTCACATTTTGGTATCAGTGTGTCAAAATTAATACTGTTTTGATAGTGACACCACTTGGTTGTCTCATGACTTAAGTCTCACACCTAACCCTGTTGGGGAAAGGAGGGTAAAAAGAGATGCCAGGGACAGAATCCTAAACTATCCACTACACTAACCACCCCCACCCCCAAATCACCCACACAACCTAGTGTGGTGCTTGACCATCATCCTTACTACCTATCTCTATAGAGCCCAAACAGGTAAAAGATTACCATGGCATCCCTAACTGCACTTCATGGAGTAAGGTACAAAGCTGTGGTCAGGGCGACTTCCTGTCCTATTATCAAAGACTAAAGCTTCCTTGTGAACAGTGGAAAAGGGTCATAAATGGCCACCAGCTCCAACCCTACTGAATTAGCCATAGGGCAGTGTCTGACAGATTAAATTCAGGAAAGAATCACAGTTATTACCTATGGATTATCTGTGGTTTTAAGCATAATAAACACATTGAACCTTAAGCATTAATGATGACTCATTAAGTGAAGGAGACAATTGCACAAATTTTGGCTTTGAGAGATAAAGAATCTCTGAACCTGATTTATTTTTTAACCCCTCCTGGCCCCATATCCAGTAATTAAGTAGCTAGTGTAGATCCCAGACACTGACTTTTCATACAGATTTCTTTCACCCACCCATTCATTCATCCACTCATCCATCCATTTACCCATCCCTCCACCCATCCATCAGCTGTGTTTCCATAACTATCCTAGGCTCTATATTGATTATCAAGAAAATGTGAGCTACAGTTCCTGCTTTGAAGTAGAAAAAAAACAACTGACAAAAATAAGAAACTACTTAAGATTTTAAAAGTTTAAAAACTATGTATGTATGTATCCATTTATCCATCTATCTATGTGATAACAAATGCTCAAATGCATGCTCTTGAAAGTCAGAATGAGAAAGTTTAGAGAATTAAATTGCCTAATCAGTGAGACAAGCACAGTGACCTAGAAAAAAAATACGTATTATAACATTATAGTTATCCAGGTGTCAAGCAGGAAATAACCATGTCCTCAAGCCAAAATACTTGCCACAAATATTACTCTAAAAGTTCAGATGCTTTAATAATAACTCCTATTACAACACAATAATAGTAGTTCACTACTATTATTTAGCCTTATATTATGTTTACATTTTAATAATTTAAATATTTTTAAATAAAAACCACTGAAGGGATTTTTGTCTTTTTCTGCTCTTTGGTGTATAGTAGGTGCTGAATGTGTTGATTAAAAGAATTAAACCTTCTGATCATTTTCTATCTATCTACACATAATTTTACAAAAATGGTATCAGTATACATTATAGTTCTATAATTTGATTTTTTCAAACAATGTATACTCAATAACTGTTTATTTCACTTATTATCCTTCTATAATATCATGTGTAGTGTTTAACTGCATACGCCATGATTTGACTAACTCATAGATATTTGACTAATTGTTGGATATTTAGGTAAAGTGGGTTATTCCTTTATTATGGATGTAGTATATAACATATACAGTACAATGTACAGGTATTAAGTATACGTAGAGTTCAGTGAGCTTTTACAAATGTATACAGTCAGGTAACTACCGCAGTATAGAACGTTGCCATCAGTTTAGAAAGTTCACCTGTCCCCCTCTTCAGTCAATCCCCCCTCCTCCCACCAGCCCAGTCAATCCCTGACCAGCTTTTTGTCACTATGAAGGAGATTTGTCTTTTCTAGAGTTTTGTATAAACAAAACTATGCCTTTTTTTGTACTCAGCATAACATTACTGAGATTCATCCAGATGTTGCTTCTATTAGGAGTCAATTTCTTCTTATTTCTGGCATTTCATTGTGTGAATATAAAAGAATTTGTTAGATTTTCTTAACAATGATCTTTGAGTTATTTCTAGTTTTTGGCTATTATAAATAAATCTGATATGAAGTTATTCCATGGACATATGTTTTTATACCTCTTGAGAATCACAAGATCATAGGTACACATATATTTAACATTATAAGTCATTACCCAGCAGTTTTCCAAAGGGGTTGTGTAATTTTACACTCCCACCAGCAATACAATAAAGTTTGATTGTTCTTCTTTACCAAATTTTGGTGTTGTCAGTCTTTTTAATTTTTGCCATTTTAGTCAGCGTGTGGTGGTATCTCATTGGAATTTTAATTTGTATTTCTCTGAATACTTAACACTGTTGAGTACTTTTTCATGTGCTGATTGGCCAATTATATGTATTCCTTCATGAAGCGGGTTTTTTGCTCATTTTAAACTGGGTTGTTTGTAAGTTCTAGGAGTCCTTTATGGCTTCTGGATACACATATTTTGTCAGATACATGTATGGTGAATATTTTCTACAAATCTGTGGCTTTCCTATTTTCTTAATGATGTATTTTGATGAGAAACCGTTTTAAATTTTGATGCAGTCTAATTTACCATTTTTCATGTTATGGTTAGTGCTTTTGAGTTCTAAGGAAACTGCTTACCCCAAGTTTGTGAAGATATTCTTCTATATTTTCTTTTAAAAGCTTTGTAATTTTAGCTTTCATATTTGGGACTATAATCTGTGTTGAATTAATTTTTGCTTATGAGTGATATAGGAGTTGAATTCTTTGTTTTACTCATTAACATCCGATTGTTCCTGCACCATTTTTGAAATTACATTTTCCTATTAAATTTATTTGCCATCTTTGTTGAAAATCAGTTAACTGTATAAAATGCCAACGCAAAATGTATATGTGTATATGTATAATATATGTGTGTATGTGTATACACACATACCAATTGGTATGTAAAATGCTATTATAAAATATATACTGTACAAAATATCAGTACCACTGTTTTTTGATTATTGTAGCATGATTAATAAGTCTTGAAACAAGGTCCTGTAAGTCTTCCAACTTAATTTCTCTTTTTCAAGATTGTTTTGGCTATTCTAGGTTTTTCGCATATTCACAAAAATTTTATATTCATCTTGCCTATTTCTAGAACAAAATAGCTAGGTGTGATCTTGATTGAGGTTACATTAAATCTGTAGATTAATTTAGGGAAGATAAAGATCATAGCAATATCAAACGTAGTAATCCACGGATATGGCATGTCTCTTTACTTAGTTAGGTCTCTCTAATTTTTTTCTGCAATATTTTATATTTTCTAATGTAGAAGTCTTGCACATTTTTCATGAAATCTATCAGTAAGTATTTTATGTTTTGGAGTGCTTCTATAAATGGAATTGTTTTGTTAATTTTATTTTCCAATTGCTTTCAGCTAGTGAATAAACTATAACTTTTACATATTGATTTTGTGACCTTTCTAAATATATTAGATGTAGTAGTTGTTTTGCAGATTTCTCACGATTATGTGTGTAAATAATCATGTCATTTGCAAATAAATACAATTTTACTTCTTTCTTTCCAATTTTTATGTCTTTTACCTCTTTTTCTTGCCTTATTGCTCTGTCTACGACCTCAAGTACAATGTAGAAGTGGTGAGAAGGGACTTTCTTGCTTATTTCCAATCATCTGGAGAAATATGTAGAAAATCACTGTCAAGTGTAATGTTAGTTGGAGAGCTTTTGTGGATGTCTCTTTATCAGACTCAGAAAGTTTCCTTATATCCCTAGTTGGCTGAAAGATTTACTATGAATTTTATTACATGATTTTTCTGCATCACCTGAGGTGATCACATGATTTTTCTCCTTTGTTCTGTTAATGGGCACTGTCTTCATTTACTTCCTGTCACTTATAACAGAATACCTAAAACTGGGTAATTTATAAAGAAACAGAATTTATTTCTTCTAGTTTGGGAGACTGATAAGTCCAAAGTCAAGGGTTCATATCTGGAGAGGTCCTTCTTGTGGGGACTCTCTGCAGAGTCCCAAGATGGCACAGGGCATCACATCGGGAGAGGGCAAGGGCATGTCCATGTGCTTTCTTCATCTCCTTATAAAGCCACCAGTTTACTCCCATGATTACTCATTAATCCATAAACTGATTAATCCACTCATGAGAGCATAGCCCTCATGATCCAATCACCTCTTAAAGCCCACAGCTTTTAAATACCATAGTCAGATTTCCTCAATACTGTTACAATGGCAATTAAGTTTCATCATGAGTTCTGGAGGGGACAAATATTCAAACCATAGCAGGCACATTGATTTTTTAGATATTAAACCAACATTCATTTCTGAAATAAACCTCTTTTGTCATGTTGTGGTATCCTTTTATGTATTAAAAGATTTGATTTGCTAATTTTAAAAAGACTTTTATACATATGTTTATGAATGACATTGATCTCTAGTTTTCTTTCGATGTTCTTGTCTGATTTTGAGGTCAAGGCTATGCTAGTCTTATAAAATGAGTTGGAAAGTATTTATTTCCTCCTCTATTTTCTGAAAAAGTTTGTGGAAGGTTAGTCTTATTTCTACCTTAAATGTTTGATAGAATTCACCAGTGAATACTTCTGCACATGAAGGTTTCTTTTTTGGGAGGCATTTGATAATGATTTCTTTGGTAGATAAAAGGCTATTTATATATTTGTGTTTCACCTTTATCAGTTTGTGTAAGTTGTTTTTCCTCAACAAATTTGTCCATTTTATTTATGTTATCAAATTTGTTGGCAAAATAATGATTCATAATTATTTCTTATTATCATTATGTGTCTGTAAGATCTGTAGTGATGCTTCCTCTTTCATTGCTAATGTTGGTAATTTATGTCTTTTTTTTCTCTTTAATCAGTTTTGCTATTTTTTTTTTAACCAATTTCATCAATCTTTTCAAATAACCAAATTTCAACTTCTGGTAATTTTCTCTACTCATCTGTTTTCTAGTTCATTAATTTTTGTTCTTAATTATTTAATCTCAGTTATTTTGGGGTTAGTTGCTTATCTTTTTTTTTTTCCTAGCCTCGTAGGGTACAAATGTAAGATAATTTAAGACTTTATTTCTTTCTAATGCAGACATTTTATGATATCAATTTCCCTTTTAGCAGTGCTTTAATTTTATTCCACAAATTTTATCTGCTTTATTTTTATTGTCATTCAGTTTTAAATGTTTTCTATTGTTATTACTTCATTAACTCAATCATCATTTAGAAGAATGTTGTTTAATTGCCACATATTGAGAGCTTCTCCAGATATCTCAGTGAAATCTAATTTAATTCTGCTATGGCCAGAGAAGATTCTCTGTAGGATTTTAATCTTTCAGAATTTATTGATACTCATTCCATTACCTAGAATATGGTCTATCTTACAGAATTTTACCTGGGCACTTAACAACAATGTTTATTCTTCTGTTGTTTCATGTAGTGTTTTATAAATATGAACTAGTTCAAAGTGGTTGATGGTATTGTTATAATCTTTTATATGGTTTCTGACTTTTTTTGTCTATTTGTTTTATCCATTGCTTAAGGTAGAATGTTAACGTCTCAACGTATAATTGTGAATTTGTCTATTTAATCCTTTAGTTTTGTCAGATTTTTTAGTACAAGTTTGAAGCTCTATTCGTAGGTACAAACACATTTATAATTATTATACCTTCCTGGTGAATTGGCCATTTTATCATTATAAAACTTCCTTTTATTTCTAAGAATACTACTTTATCTTGAAGTCTATTTTTTTCTGATAATAATATAGCCTTTTCCCCTGATTCATTATTCCCTTTTTGCACTGTTCATCTTTTCCCACCAATTTGCATTCAACCTCTTTGGTTTTTTGGATTCAAATTTCTTCTTTTTATAGTCCATATATAGTAGAAACTTACTTTTTCAGTCTAACAACTCTGCCTATTAATTGCAATGTTTAGACTATTTACATTTAATGTAAGTATTGGTATGGTTGGATTTAGCTCTGTCATTTTGTACTTGTTTTCTATTTGCTTCATTTCTTTTTTCTGTTTTTCTGCTCTTTTGTTCCCACATTCTTGATAGTTAATTATATATTTTTTAGTATTCTATTTTAATTTCTCATTTGGCATTTCAGCTTTACCTTGTTGCGTTACACTTCTATTGGTTGTTCTAGGTCTCAGTATGCATCTTGAACTTAACACAATCCAGTTAGAGTTCTCTCCTAAAATATAAAAAACTCCACAACAGTATGGTTCAACTTAACCCTCCACCTCATTTCTTCTGCTATTGTTGTATGCTATACTGTGGTATCTGTGGGAGATTGGTTCTAGAACCTTCTGTGGATACCAAAATTCACAGAGGCTCAAGTCCCTGGTACAAAATGGCATGCATTTGCATATAACCTATGGACATCCTTGTGTATACTTTAAATCATCTCTAGATTACTTATAATACCTAATGCAATGTAAATGCTATGCAAATGGTTGTTATATTATTTCAGATCATTGGAAAATTGCTATATATAAAGTCCTAATAATGAAAATTATAAAGAGTAAATGGGATGTATATATTGTTTAGGGAATAATGACATGAAAAAAAAAGTCTGTACACGTTCACTACAGGTGCAATTTTTCCCCTAAATATTTTCAATACATGGTTAGCTGAATCCACAGATGTGGAACTCATGGATACAGAGGACCAACTGTATATATAATATATTAATATAATATACAACTATATATTAAACCCCACAATTTGGTATTATAATTTTTGCTTTAAAATTAAATATATATGTATATTTATAGTGTTTTATATTTGCTCATATACTCATCATTTTCAAGCTTGGTA